TTTATTGAGCTAAACATTCAGAGTGCTGTATAAAACATGGACATTTAAATTAACTCATAACACACTGACTTTATGTGGAGGCCATAACCTGTTACAGCTTTAGTCGGGCCAAATGTTACTCACTATGAGCTGCAGCAGCTAAAGTCTGGATCATAACTGTAGGACAGTCAGTCAGACAGCTGTCACCTGCACAGAGACAGACACACACAGACGGGTTAGTCACACTCTAACAGCTTGTGAGCATCCCCAAAGACACTGCAATGCTCATTAAAACTTAATGCAAAATGTTGGAAGAACAAACATTGTAACAGTGATTGGCTTTTTGGCTATTCTTGGAGCGTTGCCTGTAGCTTTAATGTTGGGACATAAAAACATAATCGGAGCAGAAAGAACAAATTGCAAGTTGCAGGTCAGGATACTCGTTTGTTTGGTTTGGTTCGATGACATCTTTAAGTTGGCAAGACCAAAAGCAACTACAGATGTTAAGGGGCATCTGTAAAATTAGGTAGCAAAATCCCCTTGAAAAAAGGCTTGTTTTATTGTTTTACATCCTTTATGTTATATATAATACAGGACAAATCCGACCAACAGAAAGCCTTAGTGTCACTTACTTCTCTGCAGCCAAAAGCGGTCGGGCATGGTGTGGTGAAACCCTGCTCTGTCCACACACTCAATGGTCTGATGGCCGTAAATGATCTGGAACATCTGACAGATCAGAGAGCAGTACTCCTCTGCGGCCTCCTGCACGCAATCACACACAAAGAGGCTGTCAGAACACTGAATTACATACCACGTCGAAAATATCTGTGAGCTTCTCTGACAGCAAAGACATGTTGACTTTCTGCAGGGAAATAAATGATATGTTGTTTAATTTTCCTTATCTTCAGAACCCTGAATTCCCCTTAATTCACTTTAATTGAGTATACTGAAAATGTTTTCTCTCTGTGCAGGATTTCTAACCTGCTCAAGGATAAACACAGAGTAATAAGTGATGGAATTTGATCTGTCAACCTCTAAAAATCCAAAGCCAGCATCTTGTTGTTGTGATGAAACCGGACTTGAGTCTGGGAGCTAAATCTGAGCAACTTGAACAATGACACACTGATGATGCTGCCAATCCAAACAAACGATTGCTCCAAGGACAAGGATAACAATAACTGAGGATCACCACACACACACGCACGCACGCACGCACGCACGCACGCACGCACGCACGCACGCACGCACGCACGCACGCACACACACAGAATGACAAAGCTTCTCTGCTGTAACTGTGATGCAATGCTCCAGCTTATGTAACAATGCAGAGTCTCAGTTCGACTGTGGTGTGTTTGTGTGTGTATGAGTGTTGATGAATTGGCATCATCAGTGTTGGCCTACTTTCCACTATACCAACATGTGAGCTGAATGATTAGTGAACACCAATTAATTTAAACTTATCTGTGTTTTATTTTATGACACTACTGTTTTTCATTCTGGAATCTGAATATAAGACTGGACTGAATAGCCACAGTGATATTTACGATTTATCATCTCTGAGTAAACACACTGTGTGTTTTAGTCTCCAGTAGCAAAGCTCCATACTGCGTGATCATTTTCTTAGAAAAAATACTGAATGTGAGCAGCTAAACGTACGATGCGGTACAATACGATATGGTGCGATAGGATAAGGTACAGCATGATACGGTATGTTACTGTACGGCATTATGCAATCAGATATCCCACCTTGTTCTCCACAGCCAGGATGACCAGGTTGCAGTAGGCGTCCGGGCAGGGCGTTGGTTCCAGTGGATTGTGGTTCCTCCTCTCCAACTGCCATAACTCTTCCCCCGTTCCCAACTTCCTGTGCAGGCTTGCCGCCGCTCCCAACTCCCCCGCCGCCTCCTCCTCCACCACCTCCCTCCTCTCCCAGCTACCTCCTCCACCTCCACCATGCCTCTTTTCCCAACTGCCTCCGGCACCTCCTCCTACTCCTACTCCCACCCCCCAGCTCCCACTCATGGGTCTCGCTCTGCGGTTCTCCCAGCTTCCTCCTGTTTTACGTGTTTGCTGCCTCCTCTCCCAGCTCCCTCCCACTCTCTTCCTCTCCAGACTCCCTCCTCCTGCTCTCTCTCCACCTCCACCTCCTCCTGCTCCCACTCCCACTCCCACTCCCACTCCACCTCTATCCACATTCTGGTTTTTGTCGTGGTTACTCCTGGACAGGGACGGCCTCCAGTCCACTCCACAGATGGTGTGTCTTCGCTCCATTGTGCCCCCTGCAGGCCGGGGTCAGCATTACTCATGGTTTGACGTCGACCATCTACGCCTGTTGTTTTTTTCCTGTCCAGGCTGTCGTCACCTGCGACAACTGTATCAACGTTCAGACCTGTAGAAAGAGCATTTTTAACATTTGATCATTCTGGTTGATACTGGGTTTCAAGCTTAAAGAATGTAGTCTTACTACTTTCAAGGACCACTTCAACTCGACCTCTTTGCATGTAACTAGGCTAACCAAAAGTTAGGTGGAGATAGCAATTTTCAATATGGCAACTGAAACCAATGGGTGATGTCATTGAGACCAATGGAGTCACTCCTTTCTGGCCCTTGCCAATGAAGAATGCATTTTGAAGGCAATTCAGCATTGACAACTTAATAGACCTGACAGTCCACTGCTTACACACAGTATTTATTCCTCACCTGTCTTCAGGACCAGCAGGTGCAGCGCGTCATCTCTCAGGTAGGAGGCAGCGGCAATCTCATGCGTGGGAATCCTCACCAGCAGCTTCTCGTTGTCTCTCCATGTCAGCAGCAGACAGCGAGCGGATAAACTCAGGATACAGTCCTGATCCACGCTGGTCTTCAACGGCAGCACCTTCAACTGCTACTGACCAACACACAGAATATGGGATTACAGATTTTCTATTAATGATGTCGACACTGTGAAATGAAAAGCAGCAGAGTGAATCATTATGTATGAGTGCTAATACAATGAATATAATGAAAACAGTTGGCTTTACTTGACAGTCAAATCGTTCTTATTTAGGAGATAGGTAATGTAGTTAGTACTGGCATCTTAAATTAGTTATATCTTGGTTGGTCATCACTAACCGCTGAAGCGCTTGATTTTGTTCACGCTATGTTCACAAACCTCACTAATGTGAGTTATGGTTACTCACCCTTGCTGTGTCCAGTAGTTGTAGTAGCTCGTCTCGGCTGGAGGGGTTTAATGACACTGACACCCATGTCAGGTGGCCAAGGAACTAAGAAAAGAGGTCAATGGTTTGGTAAATGGTCCAGTTTCACATAGTCTATGGTGACCGAGGTATATTTGTTGTACTGTATGGTACTTGAGATTGTACCTTGACCTCCTTCTCTATGTAGTCGAAGATGAGTCTCTCAGGGTGGATGAGGTAGTCAGGAGGGTAAAGAGGAACAGTGTGCAGCGGGCGACGGTACACACTGCCTCGATCAACCGGCCTGCGAGCAGATTTTGACCAGACCAGACGCTTAATAGGAGAAACAAAACTCTAAGGCGAGAAAGTGAAAAATATAAGTTGGGAAAGAGAATGGGGAGAGACAGAGAAATAGATTAAAATTGAAAGGAAGGAACTGGTTTTAGCATTCCTTGTTAGAATAAAATTACATTCCTGCTCCCAAGAGGTTAAACCATTCTGGGCAGATACATGCCCAGAGAGGTGGCCAGGCCTGGCATATAAGTATTAAGAAATAGTATATAAATGTGATTTTATTATCTGTGCCCCAATTGGGCCAACACAGTCAAAAAAAACTGGTCACTTCCCTGTTGGCAGGTCTTGAAGAATGGCTAAATTGGGCACTATTAGTCGGCATTGTCACTGGTTGGTTTGGATCATATTTCTAAGGCATCGTACATCGTTTCAGCACAACACATGTGGAGTACACCAGGGTTTGATACTGGGGCCACTTTTATTTAACCTAAACATTCTCCTGCTAGGTCAATTCATGAATGACAAATGTTTTTATACGCAGACGATACTCCAAATTTACTTAACTCTTCCACCAGGTGACATTGGTCTTTTGGAAATACTCAATTGATGCTAGAACAAGTAAATTGCAGAATGCCATTTCAATCGCTAAAACAAATTGTATTTGGCAACAAAAAGGAAAGAAAGAGTTGCATGATTTCATATATCTAAATAAAATAACCCAATTCATTTATATAGACTCTTCTTTGGAACATGTTAAACACTTCTCCACTGGTCTAGAAGAAAGGCAAAGAGAAAAAGGGCAAAATAAGTATTAACTAGCTGCATAGCACCTTGGTATTACCTGAGCAGGTTGTTAGATTAAGCACATTCATCACAAAATCCAATTATTCCCCACTTTCTGCTTACAAGGAAAACCCACTAGAACAAGAGGAAGAAGAAAAGTCATTATAACCATCATCTGCTTTTGTCTTTTTTTAATTGAATTCAGCTGACTACAGAGATGTTTATCACAAAACTTTCTAATTTTACGTTGAGTTCTGCCCTTGTAATTATTCAGAAAGAAAGACAAGTTTTTTGATTTTAAAACAAGCTAATTTCCTCTCACTATTCAGTGTGTGTATGTATTATAACATCCATTCTCCTTATGCCTTCAAGCCACAGTATATTAATGTGTGTTTGGGTGTGTGTGCCAGTGGGTGTCTAACTGTGTGTGCTGTGTTATCGTGAGTCTCCGTGGGAGCTGTCAGAGATCACTGCTCACCTATCAATCACCACTGCAACAGCCAAAGGGATGTACTGCATTACAACACACACACATAATAAGGCCTGCGAGGATACACAAAACAACTGTCTCATATGCAAGTCAAGTTAAAATTCAAACCCGAAACACCGTACTAGAAACTGGAGACTGCTGCGCTGATTACAATCAGACTACCAAAGTGTTGGACAAATTAAACAACAAACAGATTAAAGCAAGGCAGCATAGTTTTATTCATGAAGCAAATTTCAAGGATCTGGAATCATGCTGAGCAATGACTTTCATTATTTCCACCTTGCTGCCAAATACAATGATATCTGTCTTGTCTTTGTTGGATTGAAGGAAATATAATTGCTTCCAAATTGTTCAAAGCATTGAGAGAGTATTTTAAAGGACTAATGCCACTTGGTGAAAGAGCTATGTAAATCAGAGTGTCATCTGCGTATTGGCAAAGTTACTGTCAAGAAATAGCTTCCTGTAATAAAGGTTTTATGTAGGGGCAAGGCTTGCCAAAGGTTTAAAAATCACTGACCATAAATTGGATCTACTGTATGACTTTAAGCTTTATCTTCAGGACTTGAAACAACATCAACAAGTTGCAGTTTGTATTTCGATGATAGACATGACACACTTTGAAGTGCTTTAAATAATGACAACCTCAGAGACAGAAAATAAGTCTTTTTACCTTCTTGGCTTTCTTGGGTTCATAATCCATCGTTCATCAGTCCTCCTCTGAACTTGCCTTCCTGGTCCTGGTCTTCCTGATTATTATTTTTTTGAGTCAGTTTGTCTTTTGTTGTCTTTGTATCTGTCTCTCAGATGATTTTTCCATGGTTCCCTCCAGTGTCTCCGTCGCTCTCTGTCCAAGTTATTATAGATTTTGTGTCGGCTGCTTCACTCTTGTTCTTTCTCTCTCTACACTGATTGTTCTTTTGCAATCTCTCCTGGGGCCACACACAAACACACACAGACACACACACAAAGTAACACACTACAGCACAGGAAGCAGAGGAAGCCCCCTTCCTGTCCGAGAGGAAACTCCACCAGAGACTGATAAGGCCCATTCTCTCTCAGACCTATACACAGTAAATACCCTTTGAAGGAACCACGATAAGAGATTTACATTTCAAAGTTAGGTCACTTTACAAAATCAGTTTGGTTTTATCTGGGGATGTCGCAAGAATTACTAGTCGGTTAAATTAGTTGTGTACTAGTATGTTCAGCACAGGCACGTGTGTGGACGTTAACCTGCAAGAAGGAACAAAGGCTGGTGGTGCTTACGCTGTTAACATTTGCCACACTCGGAAAAAACTACTTGACCTTGTTTACCCACAGAGCTGGAAAGTGCCATGGTTGGTCGACTAAATGATTGGAATGTGATCACCCTCACTAGTCGTAGCAAGAGAAGGACACCCATTCAACCATCTCTGAAATTAAGTGATTTCTTTCAATCGTGTTTCTGAAGGTGAAATTCAGCTATTGGACAAGAAATGTCCCTCTCTCTTACAAGGCTACACAACCAAAATAAACCCATTTTAACTACCTCAAGTTTTGGAAGCTATCTATACTCCTAAAGTCAGAAGGATTTCCTGGTTAAAGGTACATTTCACACTAAATAACTGCATGATTTAAAAAGTACCTTTAAACTCAATGTCTATCTAAAAGCCTTTTCACAGATTTACTGACAAGTTTGACCTTCATGCATGCCCTTTCCTGCCTTCCAGTTTGTTTTTTCCACTCATATGAAACTCAGAATATGTCTAATTGTCCAATGATGTGTGTCCAATTACATGCAGCATTGATATTAAGGCAAAAACTTAACCCCCCCCCCCCAACCAACAGGAACAATGCCTGTGTCAGGGAACTCTGGGAGATTTCAGGGCAGACTGTCCAAAAGTTAGATATTTTCTGGAGTATTATAGGGCTTTAAAGTATTTCTTGTGCTTTTTTTGGGGGCCATTTCTGTTCAGCTAGTTTGTGATATGTACACTCTATGTCCTATCCTGCTCGATGATTAGATTTTTTTTCTTGCTGGTCTTGAAATTCCATCCTCCCCGTGTCCTAATAAAAGTTTGATTTATTCCCATGTAAAGCCGTGAGTCATCCATCATTACAAAGATCAGTAGTGTTTTTATTTATTCAACTTGGCAGCACATAGTAAACATTCTTTAAAAGTTTATATTTCACAACACTAATCAAAGACACTTTGTGGTTTTCATGAGCCTGTGCTGACTTTCCCCGTTCTCTTGCCAAGCCTGACTCAGTGTTGATTTTCACAGCACTTTGAAATGTAGCTGCATGTCGCTTCATGCACGCCTTTAATTAACCACAATGACTCCACAATTATGCTCACATCATATATTTTGCTTTCTTTAGCGCCAGTCACATGTGGAGTGATGACGCACTTTCCACTTACAGAAGGAAAGATCCATTAAAGGCTTCCTGCATTATTCCCTCATGTGAAGACATTTCTGTTGAAAGGCGGACTCTGTATATTCCACAAGAGATTCATGTTCTTTTCTTAGTGTTTAAACTGCCTAAGATGATCATATATTCTACTGTACAGTGAGATTTAAGCACATGTTGAATCAGTGAGAGATTAAAGGTTATTTTAGTTAGTTAGTTTAGTTACTTCAATTCCTTTATATTTGTTTATTTAGTCATTTAATGGCTTTACAGATGAATGTTTTCCAATTGTGTAACAGTGGTTATTCTGACGTCTGATTAATGTATTTTCTCTGATTATGCATTTTTGCGATTATTAGGTGTATTCGGACCAAACAGTTCTGACAGACTAGTCAAAATCACTTTGTATTTCCTGTGTCACATAATCAATCAAAAATGCTGGAATCTTAAGAGCTTTTACTGACTTTTTTTTGCTAGTGTTGTCCACCAGAGAGAGCAAGCAGAGGTAAAGTTACAGATTCACGTTAAAATGCTAAATGGTTAAGTCTTATAACCTTTTTTTTTTTTTGCTCTCTTCTGGCATCTCAGGTATCGTTTGGATGGTAAAAGTCCATAAAACACTCTTGAAATTCATTACTATTTGCTTTAAATGCTGCCAAAGATTACAAAACTTTAGTCTTCATGACACTTTTTACTTCCTGTTAAGATTATAAGATTTAAGGTTTGAGTGGAAGCAAACTCACTTTCTACACAGTGTACGTCTGTTATCTCAATATTTTGATAGATTTTTTTTAGAAATGTATGTGGGAAATTAAGGAAACTCTGAACTTTGAGGTAAGATTTATCTTGATGTCTCGTCAGTTTTTTTAGGTAGAAGAAAATAATTGGATTTAACAAGATGCCAAACAGATAAATTCTTATCTGAAAATGTCATGCTTCAATATAAATATATTGTTTCTACTCACTGATGTTGCCGCAGTCCAGCCCAGCAAGTTAAACACACACAATGCAGAAAAACAAAAGGTGATGTTACCATGTTATTAATATGGAGGACCCAGAGTTCTCACCTGCAGTGAGGAGTGTCGGCCACAGGAAGGCAGCACTGAGACAAACACTCACTGGAGGAGGAGGAGGAGGAGGAGGAGGAAGGTGAAAAGAAAGACATATTTCTTGTCAGCAGGACGCTGATGGAGGCCGAGGAGACGACATCCAACCTGTGACCTCTCTTTCACGAGGAAGCAGCTAGAACCTGGTCTCAAGTCCAAAATCGATGGCATGGCACATTATATTCCTGATATTTAGAAGAGTTCACAACGCACTTCCACTGAGCCTGTTCCACACACACAGGATGCACAACAGCACACCTACCCCACAGTTTAATATCAGTGCATTTCATGATCAAGTAATTTTTTTAATAGAATTGAGGGCTAAAAAATGTCACCTAACTCGCTCCAGTGTGTATTCTGACTAACACACACAGAGACAAACAGGAGACACAAAGCTGATGAGAAATTGGGTTTTCATTTTAAGAAATAGACGCCCTGCACTATCAATAAAAAAGAATAAAGTTGTCTCTGGAGGAACATATTCAATTCTGAAAATGATTTATACCTTAATGAAGCTAAAATGAAAGCTAATGTCTGCAGAGAGAAAGCAATAAGAAGTGCAGGTTTCCAATACAACCTTCTGGGTTTTTTTTTACCTCTCGTAAAGAAGTTTATTAAAAATGTGAAGTTCAGTCCTACAAGTTTTTGCACTTTAAGATTTTTTGTCATGTGTACAAAGTTCATACATACACACACATTAGTATTCATTTCACATGTACTCACCTGCTCTTGATGTTCTGCTCTTTGACACACACACACACACACACACACACACACACACACACACACACACACAGGCATCAATCATGCTCTTGTGAACTTCAAAGAATGTCAGACCTTGATATGTTTTTGTGCTGCATCAACGCTGTATCTCTGAATATGTGTGTGAGTGTGAATTTATGCATGTACATCTGTGTGTGTGTGTGTGTGTGTGTGTGTGTGTGTGCAGCAGCGATATCAAAGAAGCAGCATCCTTAAAAGACCCGGTGCTGGAAAAAAAAAATCACACATGAGGTCTGACGCAAGAGCAGAGGATAAGAGAGGAGGGGAAAAAAGCGTGAAGGAGAAGAAAGGTGGGAGAGGAAGAGGAGGGGGTGAGGATGGCAAGGGGGGGATGGACGAACGGAGGCAGAGGATGAGACGGATGACGTAGCTAAGATTGAGGGGAAAAGTTAAAGCCGAAGAGGGTAAACCAGGAGGAGGCAGAGTTGTGAGGAGAGGATGGAGAGGAGAATGTCAGAGTTGAAAAGAGGCACCAAAGCAGGAATGAAAATGAAGTTGAGGATGTGAACTGAGAAGAAAAAATACAGAAAAATGGGAAAAGAGTTACAAAGAATATAAATAAAAGGAGGTATCTGGAAAAAAAGACAAAAGAGAAAGGACTGGGAGATGAAAAAATAACAAATTTAGGAATGAAAGAAACAGTAGGAGGCATGAGGGAGTTGAGGAATGAAAATAAAAAATGGAAAAGATGATGGAAAAATAAAAAGAAGAATAAAAATGAAAAAAAGAGAAGGAGAAAGAGTTTGAAGAAGGAATGAAGTTAAGACGGATAACCGGCGGATATATTCTTTTGAGGAACGTCAACTTCCCAATACGAACGCTTAAATAACCCTTAAAATCATTAGCTCCTAAAAGTTGTAAAATACAATAAAAGCAGAATTCAGAGATATTTTGGAGACATAATGGACACAGAAGATCGGGGTAATTTTACACGCAGAAGTCGGACATTACTGGCTTTATGTGTGTTATCACACAGCTTCCATGAAAGGGAACTTAGCCCCGCCTCCAATGCTGTATCCACATCTATAAAACATCCATGGTACAAAGGAAATACAAAAAGAAAGAGGACCTTTCTAGAAACAAATAGATAAACAAGATGAAAAAATGTATTAACAAAATTATTAATTGAAGCTAGAAAGAAAGAATAAATTGAAGATGAACAGAAGATAAAAATGAAAGGAAAGAAAAAGTGACAAGAAACAAGAAAGTCCGGTCCGTCTCCCGTTTGCTTCAAAGAACGTGCTGAGAAATCCGACTGACAACAAAAGGAAAGCAAAGACAAAGAAACAAATGAAAGAGAAATAGAAGAAAAGAGGGTAGAGGGAAGAGAGGGGACATAAATAAAGCCATGTCCTCCTTCTGTCTGCTTCGGGTGGAAAAATAGTAGACGAGGAGTCGGACTCAAATAAAATAAAAATATAAATGGATGACATGAACGGAAGAAAGAAAAGCAAAGAAGAGCGGTGCAGTTGGAAGCATGGATTACTGTTTGGTCGTTGGATCTCAGGAGACGGCGTCCAAGTAAACATCAAATCCTGAGGATGCAGGGATGCTGACGCCAGAGAGAGAGAGAGATGGAGAGGATCAAAGGATGTTGGTTTGAGGGAGAGATTTTGTTGTCGCCTCCAGAGGAAAAGAGTTGAGAGGAAACAGGAGAAACAGGGCGGGGAGATCCAGGAGCCAGGAGACGGATCTGGTGGAGCTCCGGCTTCGGTTTCAGCTCCGCCTCGCTTCCAGATCACACCTTGAAAAATCCTAAGTACAGTCACACACATACAGGAGGTAAGGCACAGCCAATCACAGGGCTTCAGATTCTGTTACCATGGAGCTAAGGTTAGACAATAATAACAATGAAACATTAAAGAGGGGTATTTTGCTCTTACAAACGTTTTGGATATACTGTAACAATATTCATCTTGTAAGCAGACATAAGTAATCCCACAGTCTGAAGGCTGCTCTAAACAAAAAGGTTTCACACATGTTTTTCTACATTTGATATTTTGTGACATCACAAACTCTCTATATGGTCTATTGTCCAAAGCAGGCACAGTGGAGCTGTAGCCTTCAAGATAAGACGAGCAAACAGCGCCTGCCTGCCCATCAGTCAGATCACCTTCTGAATGGGTGTGTATGTAACTTCCGGGTCTCTTGGAGCCAGCCTCAAGTGGACACTCCAGGACACTGCAGTTTTTTTTCACATTGGCTTTATTTTTCAACACTGGGGTTGTCACTTTGTACTTTCCCAGGATTATGGAGGTGTTGACCAATCAGGAGAAAGTAAGCTTGTAGTGAGGGAGACATATAGAAACAGTTCCTGACATGTAAATCATGCAAACCGACTACTGAAGCTTCACTGAGCGGGAATAGAAAACTTGAAATAGCGTTATTTGGCAATTTTTATCATCCAATTATAATACAAGTAAGGACTCGTGTCTAATGTACTGAAACATAATATTTCAACGAAGAATGTGCGACTTTTTGATCCAGTAGCCTTTGAGCACCAGCATT